TGTGTGTGTGTGTGTGTGTGTGTGTGTGTGTGTGTGTGTGTGTGTGTAAAATTCACTATGCTTAGGCAGAATGGGGGGCAAAAAGATGCCCACCACCAAGAGTGACAACCTGGGTTAGGAATACTGGCAGCCAGTGGCTTCCATGATTAGGGCCCTTCCAAATTCATGATTGTGAAAAATGCATCACGGATCATGAAATCTAATCTCCCTTGTGAAATCTAGCTATTGTAGGGGAGACCAGATTTCACAGAGTTGGGCGGCCAGAGAGCAGCAGCTGCTGGTCAGGAGCCCAGCTTTGAAGGCAGTGGCACTGCCAGGAGCAGCGCAGAAGTGAGATGGCATGGTATGGGGGGGTTGTCCCTTTTGGGCTGGCCTTACAGGTGAGCTAGTGGGTGACTGCCCAGGGCCCCATGGTCAGGGAGGTGCCCTGGCCACCCTCCCCCCCCTCCACACACACACAGCCAGTTCAAGGCCCCGTTAGCTCCCAAGCGCCAGGCTCCAGCTGTTAGTCCCGGACAGACTGGGGAGGGACAAGACTTCCTCTTCCTCTGCATGGGCCACTCCCAAGGCTGGGTCACATCCACCATCTCCAGGAACCTTCCCTGAGTGCAGGAAGCTCTGCGGCTCCTGGCTGGGAGTCCAGCTCTGAAGTCAGCACTGTTGCCAGCAACAGCGCAGAAGAGAGTGTGGCATGGCGTGGTATGGTATTACCATCCTTACTTCTGCACTGCTGCTGCTGGTGGTGCTGCCTTCGGAGCTGGATGCCTGCCAGCAGCTGCCCTCTGGCTGCTCAGCTCTGAAGGCAGCAGCACAGAAGTAAGGGTGGCAATACCATGAGCCGCCTACAATAGCGAACCCCCCACGACCCATTTTGGGTTGGGACCCCCACAGTTAACAATACTGTGAAATTTTAGATTTAAATATCTGAAACCGTGAAAATTACTATTTTAAAAATCCTATGACAGTGAAATTGACCAAAATGGGCTGTGAATTTGGTAGGGCCCTATCTATGATGGTGGTGGGATAGCAGCTGAGGTGTGTGGCCACACTGTAAATAGATGAATGACTGATTGCTATGGTAAATCACCTGGACAACTTTCAGCCATACCAATAGTTTGTTTTGAAGGATTTCTCTAAAAGGAAAGAACCTAGGAAATTACTTTAAAAAAAAAAAAAAAGAAAAGAAAGCTTTAGATTGATATTGACATCAAAAGCACTGGTGGCCAAATCATTGGCAGAATGTTTTGCTGCCATTGCTGCTCACATAGAACCAGTCAAAAATGTGGGGGACTTCTGAAAATTTTAAATCAAATTTTCTTCAAAACTGGTTTCACTTTAACTGTTATCTTTTAACCTGGATCTTCCCACTCCAA